TTATCGTTTGTTGTGACAGGCCTATAATGGTTTTCCACTAGTAACATTAGCCAGGTACCTAAAAGATAAAATGATAGTGACATCACATCCTGTGTTTCAACAGGTCCTACTTTACTTTTTGAGAAGGTTGAAAATGGAGGCAATAAGGGCAGGCGGTTTTATGCGTGCTCAGCCTGTCGAGACAGGAAAGACTGCGGCTTTTTTCAGTGGGAAGATGAAAAGGTATGTAAAAGTTATTTGTAATGTTTGGATATTAAGTGTTGCAGGTAAATGACTTTGATACATTTCCATTAAAGGTGTCAAAAGACAGGATGCTGGCTAGAGAAGCAGAGATGCTGTCGAAGAGGCCTCGGTTCACTCAGCAGGAATGTTGTAGCAGGTAAGAGTTGTGCTCATAGGACTCTGAACTGATCTTGTCTCTGATACTTTATGAATAAACAAATGAATGATAATATTGACTGACCAAAGCTCGTCTCCTCAGGTTTCTGCAGTTTGCTTCACTCCCATTTATTGAGAAGAAGTTCTGTGAGGATTGTCAGATTCTCCTCCTGCCTGCAGAGCACAGTGCTCACTCTGCTCACAGGACCACAACGGTCACCGTGGCCCAGCTGAGGAGGCCCAGCATCCTGCTGCGTCCACTAGACAATAAGAAGAGCAATGCCCAGTACCTGTTCACTGATCGCAGTGCACACTTCCTGCTGGATACTTTAGCTGGTCTGGGATATAAAAAGGTGCTGTGTGTGGGGACACCTAGGTGAGACAGATTACATTTAAGGGTCTCACCACATTAGGCAGGCACACTTTTTCTTTGAGTCATTTTATTGAAATCACAAAATGACTCAAGGTTTCGAGTTTGCCTTCACAGGCTGTGAGTTAACAGGGAATCAGGAGTTCTGAAAGGTTCCATTCATGATCCTATCTTGTTTTCATTACACATTAAACAATACGGTTATGAGCATGTGTCACATCATATGTCATAACTCGTATATTGACATTGTAAAAATTAATATCAGTTTAACTGTCATGTCTACGGTGGGCCAGGAGGGTTAGCAAAATGTAGACTACAATAAAATAATGAATGCCACAACTTCTGTTATGACTTTTACTGGGGGGGGCGGTTACCCTTCTGGGCCACCATACATGTTACAAAACTTTGACTATGCAAATCTTAATCTTACATTGTTAATAACAGTTATGGCGGTTTGTGCCAGACTACAGGAACTGATCAAGCTGAGAAACCTGGAGCCAATGAAGAGTTTGTTGCTGGACATTGATTTCAGGTAAGTTTCACTGTATTCTTTATTCATTCATTTTTCCAGTATTTTTTTCAATGGGAGCACATTCTCTATATCTTATTGCTGCACTAGAAGCTCAAATCATTAACCCTCCTATGCTTTACTGTTGAAATAGGCTGCTTTGAGAGAGTTACTCACATTTCAAGTTCTCTCTTGGAATATTTTGAAATGTATTATATTTCAGTACCGGACAACGAATCAATTTCAATAATTAATTAAGGAACAAAAAATGTCAATTATAATATCAATGTAGGTTTCAAAACTCAATAGACAAACCTAACCCCTAACAGCCAATATGTGTGGCCACTATTATTTAAACCTTCCTGTTCATAAGTTCAGTTATTCAGATTTCTCTCTCTCATTTTAAGAAACCCCAGTGAAAGGTGGGAAAATATTCTGTTGCTGTGACCCCTGGTGTAAATTATTTATACTGTTCATTACAAAAAAAAAAAAAACATGTTTGTGATCTTGTCAAAAACCTCTTGAAGGTTTTTGACAAGATATTAAATAATATATCAAAATAATAAAAAGTCTGTAACTTGGTTCCATGATGCATCAGTACTCATACCCATCACGTTTCTACTCTTTGTTTTGTGATTTATTGTAAAATAAATGTGTGTATAATTTTCTATAGCTTTATTGGAGTACACCTGAGGTGATTTGGAACCTAATACTTATCTTAGCCAGGTCTTACTGCTGTTGTGAAGAAACTAATAAAGTTAAAGAAATAATTTGCAGAACTCAAATCTGGAGAGGATATGAAAATCCTTAGTGGCACTGATTTCTTAAAAAGAAATCGTGTTAAGACCACATTCAACCACGATGGAGTGGAACATAGAACAAGTTTGGAACCACAAGCACCGTCAGTAGAACTGGTTGTTTGACCAAACTGAGTAGACTAGCCTTGGTCAAACACAGGACAAAGATACCATCCTAAGACAGAGCTTTAGCTCTGGACATAAGCATTGCTCATGCACTCCACCACTCAGAAGAAGATGTTCTTCACTTTACATCACACAGCAACTCGCTTTGAGTTTGTCAAACTGCAGCTTAGAGACCAAGTTTATACTCTGGATTGATGACATCAAAGTAAAACCTCCTGAGCTGAACTTCCAGGGGTGGACACTGCTGGTAACCTGGAAAACACCATGAGAAAGTGCCTTCACAGTGGTGCAGCATTGTGGTGGCAGCATCAGAAGCGTCTGTCTACCTTTGATGTCCATCCAGCATCACTAAGCATAAAATACACAAAACGGGTGTACCAACCTGATAGGGGTACAAATATTTGCGAAAGACTGGATTAACAACCAAGTAGCATTTCAAAAAACACATCTTTATGAAAAAAATTTTTTTCTTGACTATTGTTGGGTACTGTGTGTAGATCTTTGAGAACACTAAACCCATGCCCAAAAGAAGTTTGACAAACGCATGAAAAAAAGTAATTACAACAGCATTAAGTTTGTATGAATCTCAAAAACATAGCTGACCATTATCAAGTTCATTTCAAGAGAAATCAACTGTGTCGCAGAGATTTGAAAACTAGGGAGGGAGAAACTCTTAATTGACGAATCCTAGTGACGATTCACAGTGCCTCTGTGGAACAAATGGGCTTGTAGGTTTAAAGGGAATTACAGAACTCTAGATGGTTTGGGCAGTTCTGGTTCTCTGCTGGTTTCAAGAAGCGTATGGCTGGGAACAATGGCTCCGTGAACTGGTGATGAGCCCTGTCAAACACTGGAGACAAGGCTGCTGAAAATCTTTGCAGTAAAACCATACTATCTGCATCATAAAACATCAACTGACCCTTATCATAATTCACCCAGACTCCCACTCTCCCTGGTGGGCTCTGCCCTGCACCCCGACACACCACATGTCTGTCGTTGTGCCAAGATGTTAGATTCCCTTTCTTGAGCTCCATGCACCAGGAGTTCCTGTTCCGGCCCAGCTTGGCACCTTTGTCCTGGCCCTTCCTCTGTAGGCTTCCGTAGGCCACACCCACTGCCCAGGTGGAGCAACAGCGGACATCAACTTCCCAGTACCTCATACCTTCGGTGACAGGGGATGACCCCAGAGCGCAGCAGACCTTATCAAACTGGAGAGGATGCTCCAGAATGGCGGGCAGAATGTTGGACAAGGCAGCACCCCGCCCCTCTGAGGTCAATGTGATATGGCTGTGGCAGGTCTGCATGTCAATCACAATGGGCAATGAATCTGGGGAAGGAAGAAGGAAAGCATAATGGAACTAAAGTTTCTATAACCCTGTCACTCTTCCATTTATTTTAAACTAATATCAGAATGGGCTAGGAAATTTTTTTTGAAATACCTAACAGCATAGTCTTCCTTTGTAGTTGGGCCTTGAGGTTTTTGGAGATGGAGGAAAGGGTTTTTAGAAGCTTCTCAAATCTCTTGTCATTAAGTTTGATATCCTTCTCTGCGGTGTCGGGCCTTTTAGGGCTGGATGTGTGATTACCCAGAGGAAAGTCACAATGAGTGATATGAAGTAAAACCTTCTAAATAAAGATGATTAACTTACCTGACAATCTCTGACTGACCCTTGAGAAGAAGGACATGCAGAAGTAAGACATCAGTTGAGTACCTTTAGGTGTTGCTGGTAAACTATCATCTTGTAAAGAATTGGAGTCAAACCTTATCTTCCTTTGGTGTGAGGGTCTTATTCAGCACAGTCAGAATAATGCTGATGCTCTTTGTGACTTGCTCCTGATGGTTCACCCAGTTCTTCAGTATCTGGTCCAGCCTGGTTCTGGTCCGTTTCAGCTCCATATCCAGAGAGTCGACTACGGCCTTCTCGTCCTGCTTTAGGACACACAGCATGTTTTCGAAGTGGTCCTTTACCTGATGTTTCATTACCTCTGTGGTCCGCTTGATGGGGGAGAAGGGAGGAAACGACTTACAGACAGATGTTATAGTTCTGCAGTTGAAATGCAAGCAGATCATATGCTTAAGTTCTGCCAGTGTTCTGTCCCATACTCACTGAGAGATCTGCTTTGCGTTTCTTCAGAGACTGGATGTGCGCATCCGTTTTGGCTCTCTCAGCTTTTAGCTCCTCCAGACGTTGGGATAGCAGCTCCTGCAGACAAGTCAGCTCAGTCGGTTATTAGTTTAACACCTCGTATATTTTGATATGTTTACAATTTTAGAATCTTGAAGTGAACCAGGCATTGCAAAGAATGCCAGTATTCCCTCTGCCCAGCAACTTGAGCGATAATCCATGTCTAGTGCATGGTGCACTAGACACATCTCCATATCTCCAGGGAGTTATTCTCACTAGAGAATTCCTCACTACTGAGGTATTCTGGGGTGAATATTCAAGGGAAAGACCCAAGACATGGTGGAAGACTGTTTCACCTTGTGATTCCCTCTCAATCAATCAATCAATCAATCAATCAAATTTTATTTGTATAGCACATTTCAGCAGCAAGGCATTTCAAAGTGCTTTACATAATTAAAATAAAAACAGCATGTGAGAAAGAGAGAGATTTAAAAAACATAATTTAAATGTAAACAGTGAGAAAGAGAAATAAAAAGCTGTAGAACTTTAGTTGAGACGCCGTCAACTGGGACTCCAACCCTTTGGACTTTAGTCAAAACGCCGTTTGACAAGGACTCTAACCTCTCGGACTTTAGTCAGAACGACATTTG